CACGCAGACGTAGAGTGAGGACTGAAGAAAATATTGTGGCTGTATCCGCCAGTGTTAGTGATGACCGTGAAATGTAGATTCGCCGCCGTTCGCAGCAATTGGGCCTCTGTTACTCCACTACGTGGAAAATTTTGCGACAGGATTTGGGTGTAAAACCTTATAAGATACAGCTGGTGCAAGAATTGAAGCCACAAGACCTCCCACAACGTTTCCAATTTGGTGAATGGACGCTGGCAAAGTTGGAGGAAGATCCACATTTTTATCGAAAAATTGTGTTCAGCGACGAAGCTCATTTCTGGTTGAATGGGTACGTTAACAAGCAAAATTGCCACATCTGGAGTGAAGACCAGCCAGAAGTATTGCAAGAGCTACCAATGCATCCCGAAAAAATAACTGTTTGGTGTGGATTATGGACCGGTGGCATCATCGGGCCGTACTTCTTCAAAGACGACAATGGCCGGAACGTAACTGTGAATGGCGAGCGCTACCGTGCGATGATATCAAACTTTTTTTTGCCCAAAATGGAAGAGCTGGACTTGGCTGACATGTGGTTTCAACATGACGGTGCCACATGCCACACCGCACACGAAACAATGGCCCTATTGAGAGGCGAGTTCGGTGAACAGTTTATCTCACGTTTGGGGCCCGTCAATTGGCCGCCTAGATCGTGTGATTTAACGCCGTTGAACTATTTCTTGTGGGGCCATGTTAAGCCTAATGTCTACAGGGATAAACCAGCAACGATTGACGCACTGGAAGCCAATGTTGAAGCATTTATTCGTGAGATACCGGCCGAGAGTGTGCCAAAATTGGACCTTGCGCATGGGCCATCTAAAGCGGAGCCGCGGCCAACATTTACATGAAATAATCTTTAAACATTAAATTATATCGACCGTTCTATCGACTCAAATAAAGATTTAATCGTTTTTTTTCAAAATTTTTGAGTTTTTTTTGAAGATCAAATCCTATACCTCTTAAAAAATCACCCTTTATAAAAAATTTGTATTAGACTATAACTTTTGTACAGGATATTTTTTCGAAATATGCAATTGATTGGCATCAACTACAGCGATTTATTTTCAAATTCACGTGTCCAAATTGGCATTGATTCATTCTTGTTGGCACTTTTTTAAATTCAATAAGCCAAATGGAAATACGAGTTATCTCTGTACTAACCCAGGCCTCTATTATAAATTTTTTATTTCGGTATGTCTATCAAATCAAACTGCAATGAAAAATGAGTAGCTGAAGCCGGAGGAAAAAGCGAAATAATACCTAATTGATTTCAACATAACGTCGTTTTTCCCGGAAAAAAATCACTTTTTGGATATATGACCACCGTAATAGGATATGGTACAAGCTTCAATGTATATGATGCACAAATACTTTTTGGGCTCGCATATTTTTGTACCCAATGCATACCCGAGATTCGACTTTTAAAAAAAACGTCCACTAATTTTAGCAATGTGAATTATATTGCATGTCTGCCAGAAAAACATCGTGGTTGCGAAATCTTACCAACTTCAGTTAGACAGCTTCATTTCTATCTAAGACTAAAAATCCTGGCAAATCATGCTGCATTTTTATTGGGCCCAAAAAGAACGTGAAATAAATCAATATCGCATTAATATGGTGAATAATGAAGACATATCCTTCGTAAACGAAATGCAAAACCTGGTATCTGGTTTGACTGCAAGCTACGCTTCACTAAACATGTTAACCAACTATGCAATGCGTCCTATAATGTGCTTCGTCAGTTATACCCGAGTCGAAGTGTCCTGTCGACACAGCTCAAGCTTAAACT